TAACAGGCAAAAGTTATAACATTGATTGCTTTATTACATGCAATAGTAGATTTGTTGTCTATTTATTGCAGTGCCCATGCAAACAACAATACATTGGCAGATCTACGAGAAAATTAAAAGATCGTCTAAGAGAACACGTCAGTAACATCAAAAAGGGGTACAAGGAACATTCCTTGTCTAAACATTACCGCCTATTTCACAACAAGGACCCCACTTCGCTAATGTTTGCTGGAATCGATATTATTAAGACACATTGGAGGGGCACTAATAAAAAGAGATCAGTCTCACAGCGAGAATCTAAATGGATTTATGAATTAGACACTTTTTATCCTAAAGGACATAATATTGAGTTTGATATCAATAGTTTTATATTGATAACAGCTGATTCTGGCCAATTATCCATGGATGTTGTCATTTCAGTTCCCACCTATTAACATCACTTATAGATTTAGCGCTATCCTATTCTATATATTTTTTTTGCAACCCTTTGCATATATTTGTACTACATTTTAGTATTATTTATTTGGTTAGTGTCATCAGACGCTCAACAATATTGGTAAAATTTATATCAACATTAACTTTAAATTTAGTGCTATCTTATTCTATATGTATATTTTTTTTGCAACCCATTGCACATACTTGCACTACTTTTTAGTATTATTTATCTGGTTAGTGTCATTATACGCTCTATACCATAGGTGAAATTCATAATAACTTTTTAGAATCTTTATTATTCTATTTTATATACATATATATTATAGATCTATGGTATGATTTTAACTGGGTTTTTGATTATATTCATTTATATTTTGTCAGATTTCCTATTTATTTTTATATGGTTCTTGGTCATCGTGATCCTCTTTTAATATTTTTATTATTTTATTTTAATACTTGATGAATTAATTTTTAATTGTATGGATATTATATATTCCATTAACTTTTATTTGTTATGTATAATGGATGGATTATGATTTTTTCATTTTTTCTTGTTATTATTTTTTATGTATCATATTATGTATTTGGACACTTTTGTGTAGTGTTCTGTTACTTTCTATTTTTTACACGTTAGACCATAACGTAGTATTTTATTGGTTGTTTGTTATCTTCAATGGAGACACCACGTGATCACCTTAAATTTATTTGCAATATTTTATTTACAGTGCGGAATGTTTGGCTCACTTATTTTTGATGTGACACATATGCATACCAACATTCGCGTATAGTGCATATACAGATGTAAATTTATTTTTGTAATTTCTATGTTTTATATATTTTCTATATTTTTTATGCCTCTTGAGGATCTGTCTCTTTATAGATCTATCTGGTGTCTTCATTGTATGTCCTGTGTTCCATTCCTGCCCGCCTATGTTATAAATTTTAACAGCTGCCGGAGACTATAATAAAATGGCGCTGTGCAATTACACAGGCGCGACTGCTGCTGACATCGTGGCCGTCGGTGGTTATAGGTAGACTATAACAAAATGGCGTTGTGCCACTATGCAGACGTGATTGTTGCAGACATCGTAGCAATGTCCGTTCTCCACATGCGCGAGAGCGCCGAAAAAAATGGCGGACGCGCTTATGCGAACGCCATATGCTATATATACAGGGCTCTGTGTAGATGTCTGGTTAGCTGACACACTCCCTATGAATACGTGCATTTAGCACGAAATGCGTCAGTGTAAGAGCAGCATACCCCAGACATCACGCCACCGCATGGAGCGGCGGCCATCTTTGTACACCTTTTATGGTCAGTTTTGTTTGTTTAGTCCTTGTCTTATTTTGGATCAATAAATTTTTGTTTAAAACGATATCACACTATCCTGGCTTTCTTTCTTGGGACCCTGTTGAGTCCACCACCCACAGAGCCACCTGGGAAGACAGCTAAGAGGTGTTTTAGTGTGGAAACACACGATCCATAAGGAGAGCTCGGACGGACAGATGTGCCTAGACGGTGATCTTATTAAGATGACTTTGTGTCAGGGCTCCCGGGTGTGACCAGAGGTGTGTGACTGACGCAGGGAAACGCAGACTTCAGATATGTTATAAACAATGTAATTTATTAACACTAACAATACAAACATAAACGCAGTGCAATACTAAAACATAACACAGTGCAAACAAACCAAACCAACCACCCACAGATAACAGTACATACAATGCAAGCGTCGTCAGGCAGGCCGGGTCAATATCAATCGGGCAGGTAGGTACAGGGGGAGCAAGCAGAGAATGGTCGGGGTCACAAGCCAGGTTCAGCAGGTAGAGGGCAGCGTGGTACAGAGGGTCAGGCAGAGGAGAATGGTCAGACAAGCCAGGGATCAGGAGCAGGAGAATGGTCAGACAAGCCAGGGATCAGAGCAGGGTCAGCAGAGAATCAGACAGGAACAGGAAACAGGGCCCAGGAGAAACACAACACCAAGGCAGAGTCTGCAGGTCTGAATGTCCCTTAAATACACCAGTATAATTAGTTCCAGGTGTTTGACTGGCTGCAAGGTTGAGTCTCTGATTGCTGGGAGCACCCGCTGGCCAGCCCTGGTACTGCAGCTCATAAGGCAGGTGAGTCCCACTATTGCTGGCCAGTCCATTCCTGACACTTTGCTTGGATATCCGGATATTATTATCTACATGCATATTTGAATTATGCATCTGGTGAGTGCATGATTCAATTAATTTTGATCACCAGAAGACGCACGTTTTGAATCACCATTTTGTTATTTCTAAGGACTTTTTTGGCACGTTGTTTTAGCACAAGATAGTCACATATTCTTATATTGTTTGCTATATTTTTATATATCAGAGGTAATTTCAATATCCTTAGCGCTGCGCCCTCTCTTTACATGTTTTCTGTAGGTTTATTGGTACCTTTTGGTGTACAGCAGCTCTTTATCTAGCGCTCACTTCCATTTTTCCTTGATTTGAATGCTGATTTCTGGCTCTCCTCTCCTCACGAGCTGTCAGTGTGACAGCTCGTGAGGAGAGGAATGACGATAACCGGAATGTCTTTATTTAAATGCGATCAGCTGAGATTGGACACAGCTGATCACATGACAGAGCCAACATCTTCGGCTCTTTTCGTTGATCGGTGATCCGCTGTGTCCCAGGGACACAGCACACCACCGATCGCCACGCTGTGTGCCCCAGGGGCCTCCCAGAACGAGAGAACCGCCTTGCACTCGTCATTTCCTTATATAGCGGGCGGGAGGCGGTTAAAAAAGCGCCAAATTGAAAACCCAGAAGTTAGCACAGCAGGGACTTGGAGGGTTTTAGGTGTCCCATGTGAGTTAACTTTTTTTTTTTTTGTTTGGTGAACTAACGCTTTTTTTTTTCATTTTGGATAGAGCAAGGTAGGGTTATAACCTCTGACAGATTTGTTTTTTGCCATCTGTAACCCATTGGGGAGATTTTCCTTCACTTCAGGACATCAGGAAATCCCTGCAAATTAAGGGAATCCCCTGGGGGAGGTACCGATCTGTCACTGTGTTCATTCATAATTGAAGCATAGTGATCTTTTTTTTTTTTGGGTGGCAGGACGTCAGGTTTGCTGTATGAGGCCCTGTGGTTTCTAACAACAGCTGTGCGCCTGAGGTCAGTCACTTCACTGGGTATATGCAAGGGTTTGCAACCACTTTAAAGTATGACTAAAGGCAAAACGTTTTTCTAGTTTTGGACAGAGTGGAGAGGGACTAGAACACCTGTCAAGTTTTTATTGCTACCTCTGCCCCTGTTGGGAAGATTCATCATCTCTACTTGTCCTGTTTATTCGTATCATCAAAAGTGAAAGAAAACCCCATCGTTTAGATTGGGTTGTCCCCAGAAAAGAGAGGGGAAATCTTTCAATAGGGACAGTAGTTCTGGTGACCTGGGGTGCCTTAATTTGCAGGGATTTCCTCTCACTTCCTATTTTGGCTGTGGGACAGGAAGTGAAGAGAAATCTCCCCTATAGGAAGCAAATGACAAGAAAAAACTTGTAGAGGTTTTTTGCCTAAAGTTCTACTAATTATGTGAAACACTATCTGCACATGTACAAAAAAAAAACAAAATAAAAAGTGACTAATGCAGGCCATAGACGGCTCAAAAACTGGGTGTTTTTTCGTCTGATAAACGATAAATCGGTTGTTTGTTAAACCAACGTAACCACCAATGATTACGAAAATCGGCCGACCAAGTCATAAAGTTCACCCCATATAACAGGCAAAACTTCTTTTCCTTCCAGGTCACGCCTCATGCGCATTTTTTTTTGTGAAAACGATCGTACGATTTGACCATCATTGACGCGAAAATCGGTCGTTTTCCACAAATTTTCCAACAGGATCGATAATCTAAAAGTGGAAAAAACACGAAAACCGGCCGACGAATTAACCCACTAACAGTGCGAAAATCAGGCCGATTAATCTTTCGGATGAAAAATCGTCCGGATTTCGAACCGTCTATGGCCGGCACAAGTATGACTCACGCTTGTATCAGGAATAAACATATAACTACTTTAATCACAGCTCGTCTCTTCCAGTAGGTAAATGATTATTATCCAGACTACAGTGTTCTTTGTAACCAAACATTTGCACTGCGGAATAACACAACCTGGGGACTATGACTGTGTGATGTTAGAGGAAGCTCTTTGTTTTCCATGGATAACAACCATCCCCAGCCCCTGCATAAAACACACCCGCTCCGTCACACAGCACCACACTCTCCGAGCCGTGACGTCTTCGTCTGGAGGGAGGAGCCAGCAAAGTCGCCGTGTCTACACGGAGGAGGAGGAGGAGGAGTCAGACGAAAGAGTCAGCTTTTTGTGTAGCAACAGTGTTTTGGGGGACAAGGCCGGTCGGGGATTTGGCTTGGACCCAGCTGCCCAATAGGAAACCTTAGAAGTGGAAGGAGTTTTTTTTTCATAGCGGAAAAGTCGCGAGAATTAGCGGTGGAAAGCGAGGTAGAAAGACAGCGGCGAAGAGGAAGGAAAGAGATCTGCTGCTAGTGATGTGATGGGCACAGATTGATAGGCCATGTCTGTGGCTGGCTTCTCCGGACTGCCCAGGCTTTGCCTGCTACTGCTCTATGTCCTGTTACAGCTGACGGGATGTGCTGGTGAGTGAAAAGGGGCTGGGTGTCCAGACCGAGCACTGTGGCCTGGGGAGGATGAGCACTGTCCGGTCTGTTGGGCAGGGCTTTGTGTATGGTGTAGCCGGGGCTGGGTTTGTTCCCGGTTTTCTGGCGTGGCTTCGGAGAATGGTAGATGGCTGGATCTTGTTAGCACGAGTGTTTATCCTGTGTGAGTGGATGACAAATCTTGTGGAGTGCCCTGTAATGTGTGTGTTAGGGACTGAGATCATGTGTGTGACCCAGCTGAAGTTGTGGTGTTTTACTGTCCATGGTTTGAAATAGGGGGAAAAAACTTGTTTCAGAAATGTAAAAATGTATCTGTTCAAATGGCTTTAGGGCCCGTTCACACCAGACCGCGGTAACCTGCGTGTCCTGCGCGTTTTCAAAACACACGGGATATGCGAACTGCTGCAGGTGTCAGTGTTTTCTAACGACATCCCAGAGGCAAATCGCAAACTTTAAATCTATACACAAGATATATGGCGCAGACCTTCAATGCGGGGAAATATAATAATGTAAATGGCATCAATACAATAGAAGTACTAGATTATTCACTTGTCTGCTGCGTGTTTTTCCTCCATTCCTACCCAAGCCAATTTTCAGCTTTCAGCGCTGTTGCACTTTGACAATTGTACAGTCATGCGACACTGTACCCATATGATATTTTTGCAATTTTTTTTTCACACAAATAGTGCTTTGTTTTGCTGATATTTAACCGCTAGCCTACCGGGCACTTATACCCCCTTCCTGCCCAGGCCAATTTCTAGCTATCAGCGCTGTCCCACTTTGAATGACAATTGTGCGGTCATGCAACACTGTACCCATATGAAATTTTTATCATTTTTTTTTGTGAGGGATAGAGCTTTATTTTGGTGGTATTTAATCACCTCTGGGTTTTTAATTTTTTTTCTTAACAACTTGAGCACCTGAGGATTTACCCCCCTTAATGACCAGGCCTCTTTTTGCTACTCGGCGCTGCACTAATTCAACTGATAATTGCGCGGTCATGCAATGCTGCACCCAAACGAAATTTACGTCCTTTTTTTCACACAAATAGAGCTTTCTTTCGGTGTAATTTGATCACCTGTGCGCTTATTTTTCACGCTATAAACAAAAAAAGGCCAAAAATTTTGAAGAAAAACAATATTTTTTACTTTCAGCTATAAAAAATTTATAGTAAACTCAAAGTTGGTTATAAATTTAGGCCAAAATGTATTCTGCTACATGTTTTTGGTAAAAAAAATTCCAATAAGTGTATATTGATTGCTTTGTGTGGAAGTTATAGCGTCTACAAACTATGGTATAAATACTGCAATTTACGCCATTTTTCTGCTATACAGCGCTGCGCTAGTTTAACGGACAATTGCGCGGTCATGCAATACGGTACATAAATGAAATTTACATCCTTTTTTTTTTCCCCACAAATTGAGCTTTCTTTCGGTGGTAATTGATCGCCTGTGCGGTTTTTATTTTTTTGCGCTATAAAAAAAGCTGGCAATTTTGAAGAAAAAAAAAAAATATTTTGGACTTTTTGCTATAAAACATGTCCAGTAAAAAAAAAAATGCAAAAATCTAATTTAGTCATAAATTTCTGCCAAAATGCATTCTGCGACATGTCTTTGCTAAAAAAAAATCCAATACGTGTAAATTAATTGGTTTATGTGAAAGTTATAGCGTTTACAAATAGCGGGAAAGATACTGGAATTTTTAATTTTTATTTATACTAATAATGGCGCCGATCAGCGACTTTTGGCGGCAATCAGCGACATATGGCGGCGACCAGCGACTTATGGCAGGACTGCGGGACAGCGGCGGACATTTTGACACTGGGGGGGGAACTGACTTGGGGTCACTGACATCCCCAGTGACACCAATACAGTGATCAGTGAAAAAAAAACCACTGAAACTGTACTAATGTCACTGGGGAGGAAGGGGTTAACATTTTTAGAATTTGCAGTGTAAGGGGAGTGTTTTACTAGGTGGCGGGGGTGTGTACTGGAGGGGGGGGGGGGGAGCTGATTGAGGGAGGGAAACCCTGCAGCTTCTCACAAGCTGTCAGAGAACTGACACAGAACAGGGCTGTGTGTAAACAATGCAGCCCTGCTCTGTGTTAGTGATCACCGGCAATTGCGGGAAAACGGCCGGTAAAAACCGGCCGTGACCCGTCGGCTGACACCCGCTGCTGACACCCGCGGGACAGGTAGGGCGGGCGCGCGCCCCCTACCTGTTTTGAAGGCAGCCGTTTTAAAATGTGCTTTTGCCTATGAGCGCCGCCCTGCTACTGTTTATATGCGGTGGCTGGGCGGCAAGTGGTTAAACCAAAAACCACTGAAAATTTAAAAAAAAAAAAACGTTTTTTCTTAGTTTTTGTTATAAAATTTTGTAAATAAGTGATTTTTCTCCTTCACTGATGTGCGCTAATGAGGCTGCACTGATGGACACTGATAGGTTGCACTGGTTGGTGGCACTGATGGGCATTGACAGGCATCAATAATGGGCACTGAAAGGGAGCACTGACTGGCAGCACTGATAGGTGGCACTGATGGGTGACACTGAAAGGCAGCTCAGATGGGCACTGATATTTGGCATTGATGTGCACTGGTAAGCACTGATATGTGGCACTGATGGGCACTGGCATGAGGCACTGATGAGCACTGACAGAAGGCATTGCTGGGGCTACACTGATCATCAGGGCACACTGATCATCAGTGCCCTGATGATCAATGTACATGTCCCCTCCGCGGAAAGCCGATTACCGACTCTCCTCTCAAGCTGTCAGCGTGACAGCTCGAGAGGAGAGAAATGCTGATAACCAGCATTTCCCTGTTTACATGTGATCAGCTGTGATTGGAAACAGCTGATCACATGACCGAGCCAACATCTTCGGCTCTTTCCGTGATCCGCTGTGTTCGAGGGACACAGTGCACCGCCGATCGCCGTGCTGCACGCTCACTGAGCCGCGCATGCGCGGTGAGAATGGGAGGATGTCATATGACGTCCTTCCAGAACGAGAGAACCATCTTGCATCTGTCATATTACTATATGGTGGGCAGGAGGTGGTTAATCACTACTGTGTTTATTTTTTTTGCACTATAAATGAAAAAAGAGCAAAGAATTAAAAAAAAAAAAGTTTCTATTATAAAATTTTGCAAACCGGTAAATATTCTCCTTCACTTATGTGCTTTGATGAGGCTGTATTGATGGGTGGCACTGGTAGGAATGGATGAGGAGACACTGATGATGCTGCACTGATGGGTGCCACTGATGGGCACTTTTGGGGCTGTACTGATAATCAGAACACTTTCCGGTTAACAGTAGTACTTTTCTCAGCATGACAGTGTGAATAAAGTGCTTACTTTGTGATCATTTGTGTCATTGGACACAGCTGATCACGTGGTAAAAGGGCGATGTAATTGGCCTTTTACATTGTCATGGGATTATCTGTGTCCGTAGGACACAACGATCACAGACAGAGATGGATGCCCGCCACTGGGGGCACGTTCTGGGATGACGTAATATGATGCACTCACAGAACTGCACAATGGTGCTGTATCCTGATTGTCAAGTGGTTAATCTGTAATGTCCCTTTTTATATATGTAAAAAAGTCCAGCAGCTCACGAGATTCCGCCCTCCATCCTCTATGCCACTGTTGACATCATTAGAGGATGGATGGCGGTCTCTTCTGCTGGAGTCATTCAGTTCACAGTGCCTGTTACTTTTTAAACATGTGAGCTGCTGAACTTTTATACATATTACTGATTAATCACTTGACAACCAGGCTATAGTCAATGATGGCTACAGCGCAGTTGAGCAGTTCTGGGAGGGTGTCATATGATGTCCTCCCAGAACTCACCCCCAGTGGCTAATACTTTCACTTCATTAAAATCACTTTTAAATACTGCACTTAGTGGTGCCCACTTTTGTTCTCTTTCCCAAACCCTGAATCGCATGGGGAACAAAGTCCCATGCGATCCAGTCGCGGTATGTTTTTAGTGGTGTAGTGCATTCGCTGTTTTTTGGTGTAATCTAATGAATGAATGGGCTGGAAATATCATCGCACTGCATTGCGGACTGTGTTCCTGTCTGATTCAGCCCTAAAAAGGCAAAGCTCAACCTGAACTCCTATGTGGACAGTCCCTCTCCATTTGGATATTGCATAATGCAATACCTTCTCCCTACTCCTGTGCGTTCGGTGCGGTTTGCGTGGGCACAGTGAATGGGCTGCTGTACTTGTGGGAAAGGTGGAGAAAAAGGTCCCTGCAACTTTTTTTGAAACTGCAGCCTCAGTGAATTCGTATAGTGCTCTTGCACACTGCACGATTCCTGCACCCGATTTCCTGTGGGGAAGCGATTAAGAATGAATGGCAGCCACGTGCATCTGTTAACGAGCAGTGGTTTTTGGCCACGGCAGCGGGGACAGTAACGATTCCCTTACCCGCAACCACCTGTACAAGTGGGAACCTAGACTATTTAGAGTAGAACTATTGGCAAAGTCTACAGGACAGAAAGGGAACTTTTTTCTAAGGAAACTGCAAGCATTATTAAACTTAAATGTTTAACTGCTTGCTGTCCAAGGACATCTCTGTATGTCTTTTGAGTTACAGTGGTTATACTGGGGCCATGGCTACAGTTTGAGCCATGACCCCGATATTAGTTTTTTTCTAGTGGTGCACAGAAATGAAAATTCTGGTGCCGAAACCGAAAATTCAAGATGCACTTGGCCAAAAACGAAAATGGACGATTTTTAAAAATGTAATATTTTTTTGGGAAAAAAATACACTTTTACGTTTAACTCGTTGCCGCCTGGCCTATAGCAGATTGACGGCCGGGCAATCCTCATCCCTGTGGGTGTCATGACGTCCTGTGAATCACGCATGCGCGCCCCCCGTGGTGCACAGTGCTGCTGTTCCTGTCAGGCTGTGTCCCTCGGACGCAGCGCTTCCCCGCTGGAGGTAAAGAGCCAATGAAATTGTCTTTTTACTACGTGATCACAGCCGATCATAGATATAAACACACAGTGATCACTCACTGTTACTATCTTCTCTGATCTTTGAGGAAGAGAACCTAGGAACAGTGAGTTTTTCAAACCCTTTCATTACTGTGCATCACACTGCCCCTAATAAAGAGTCCCTGTCAGTGCCACCAGCTGTCAGATCAGCCCATCAGAGGAGCCATTAGTGGAGCTATCGGTGAATCTGTCAGTGCAGCCCATCAGTGCAGTTCATCGGTGTAGCTGTCACCATAGCCATTGATGCACCCTAATCGGTGTACTTATAGAGTTGACACAACTGCCTCCCACCTGCAGTGTACCCATCAGTCATCGATCAGCAGTGTACCCCCTCATACAGCCACAATCACCAGAGCCGCACTGTCCAAAAAATATTTTACTAGTGAGGAGGCACTCAAAATCCTCAGCTTGTCGGATGAGAGCAGCGGGGAGCTCTCACCATCCCATTCCGATTCGGAATATGAGCCAGTAGAAAGTAGTGGGAAAGAAGTGACTGAATCAGAGGAGGAAGCAGTCCCTCCTAAAAGGATACGGTGCTCTGAAGGGCAGGCAACAACAAGCAGCGCCATACACCCAATGGTCAATCGGCAGATGGCCAATGGCGCTAGGCCCCAGGATGAAAGGCCCAGTACCAGCACTGGAGCACTCCACCAGACCCCAAGAATTAGGGCCCAAACATATCTTCCTGACTCCCTGGCAAACCCTTTATGGTTGCCTTCCAGCTCAGGATCAGCTTCAATCCCACCTTTCACTGCACAGCCAGGTGTGCAGACAAATACTGAAAATTTTTCTGAAATTGATTTTTTTTTTTTTTGTTTTTTTTTTTCCTGCCGATTTACTGCAATACATTGTGGACCAGACAAACCTTTTTTGCTCAGCATTATATTGCTAATCCCAGTACATGCCCGTCCTTTTCTATGGAGATGTCTCACAGTGGAGAGTTGAAATAGTTTTTGGGCCTTACGTTTAACATGGGGCTTACGAAAAAAACCGAATTGCATGCCTACTGCTCCACCAACCCCATCTATCATATGCCCATCTATTCTGCTGTAATGTCCCGGTCAAGCTATGATCTGAACATGTGATTTCTGCATTTCAATGATAACTCACAGTGCCCTCCCTAAGATCATCCCAACTATGACAAGCTATACAAAATCCGCCTACTAATAAATTATTTTGCTAAGAGATTTCTGGAACTTTATGCCCCTGAGCAACAAATGTGTGTGGATGAATCCCTTGCCCACTTCACTGGCTGGCTGGGATTGAGCGTAGGTTCACACTACAGCGGCGCAGTAAATCCCATGTGATTTGCATTGGAACCGCACCACATTCCTTTACAAATCACATGCGATTTGTATGCGGTGCGATTAAAGCCATACATTTTGCATGGCTCTATTCGCACCGCACCCGCACCAAAAACTTTCAGATCCCTTTTTTGGTCTGTACTATAATCGGATCGCATAGATATTCACACCTATTCTTTTCCAATTCTGCATATTGCACTGCGGTTTGCGTACTAATGTTGGGGTGTTAACATACACACCCGCATTAGTTTGTATGAATGGGGTGCGATTGTGATGCGGTGCGGATTTCACACTGAAAATGCTGCAAATTCCGCACCACATCAGTGTGAACCAGGGCTCAAGCAATGCATCCCCAGTAAAAGGGCCAAGTATGGATTAAAGCTGAACAAGCTCTGCTAAAAAGCTACAGGGTATGTGCATGCATTTCACGTGTATTAAGGCAAAGACTCTTCGCTCCAGCCCAACCTACATCGGCACAAGATAAAAAAAAAAAAAAAAAAAACAAAAAAAAAACTACAAAAATAAACCAAAAAAAAAAAAAAAAACTGGCAAAATTGTTTTGGACCTGGCATTCCCACTGTTCCAAAAGGGTTATCATATCTACTTTGATAACTATTATACCAGTCTCCCCCTTTTCCGGCATATGTACTGTGAGAAAACTTTAGCCTACGGTACCACCCAAAAAAATAGGGCTTCACGCAAAGTTTAGTAACCAGAAGGCTACAAAGGGGGGGGAATCCACAAGGCTGAGAAACGAGGAAGTGTTGGCCAAGAAGTGGAGGGATAAAAGAGATGTTTACGTCCTGTCCACTATCCCCAATGAAACCTCGGTGGAAATTCATGGAAGACGCAGTCCCATCCAAAAACCTGAATGTATCCACAATTATAATCTGTTCATGGGGGGGGGGGGGGGGGGGGTGATTTTAAATGACTAGATGCTACAGCCCTATTTGTCAACAAGAAAGTCCCTCTTCTGGTAGAAAAAAGTTGTAATTTATTTTTTCCATTTGGCCATTTGCAATGCATTTGTCATCTATCAAAAGTCAACAGACAGACCCACCACCTTCCTCAGTTATATAGAAGAAATGATCACTGCCCTGACCTACCAGCAAGGATCCCCCCAGAAAATGTTTCACCCACAGAATCCGGAAGAAGATGCCAAAAAAATGTGTATGCGGCAGAAGAGGAGTTAGGAAAGACACCAGTGTTCATTGTCCAAAATGTCCCTCCCAACCAGGCCTATGCATTGGAGACTGTTTCCGACGTTCTCACGTCACTAAAATATTAGTTCTCCTTATTTTTAACAGCCTGCCATTTCCCAGTTTCTAAAATCCTTGCTGATCATTTGCCTGCTGCCTTGAATGACCATGCCTTTGCTTGCCACCTGAACTGACCCTGGCCTGTTTACCGACAATGCTTTTGCCTGCCCTCTGGATTGTTTCAAAACCACGTTTGCCTTCCACCTACACTGACCTCTGCCTGTTAATCGACCATGTTTTTTGCCTGCTGCTTGAACTGATCTTTTGCCCTGCTACTGTAGTAGTGGGATGCAAGATAACACAGGGGTCTCACATATGTGAGGGGCTTCAGAGTAGAGAAAACCAGTTTTTGGTTTTCACCG